AACCTAGAAACCTAAGATGAACCCTTAGTTGTTTTAACTTAAGATTCTTAGGATAAAATGGAATTGGAAGTAGTATGAGTATTAGATCATAGGTGTCTTGAAAAGAAAAGTTTTTTTAAACAATTTTGTGTTTTAAAAACATAAATTGAGGCATTATTGGACCCCTATTGAGCAACACCTTTTAGTGCTTAAGACATCAAGTTTTTTTCCTTGGTTTTATTCTTTAAAAATTGTTGAGGACTAATCTATGCTTGTAAACCTTTGTTATAACGGTCTCTTTATGACTTAGGAAATAAAATGGAAAAAGGCCACATAAGAGTACAAAGCTCGCTTGACCTGTCTTTCATGGTCGCTCGAGTGGTCAATACTCCTGGTCAAGACGAAAACATGATTTTCATTCTAGTATCAACCACCGTATGACTGCCCTCCCACCGATTGAACTATCGTTCACAAATCTAAGTTTTCTTGTTGACTAAGACTACCTTTATTCTGGACCTATAAATAGGGAGAGCCTTTCCTAAAGATAGGTTAAGCCTCTTGTGAGATTTCTAAGAGAGAAAATACATTTTCTACCTAAAGGGCTTTGATCCATAACCTAGAATCCTATATCCAAGGCTGCCACTAGAGATTCTACCCAACCTCATAAATTGGAGTTAAATATCTTGTTGGTTTGACAAACCCATTGGTGTGTACATACTGGGAATCATTGGAATGCCTATGATTGTTCAAGTTCTAGATGAATCATGCGGGAGGGACTCCTAGTGAAGCTATACAAGACATTGAGGGAGAGTCTTTGATGGAGAGACAATGCGGAAATAAGTATCTAGCCATGGTATTGGTTGAGATATAAAACTAGAGTACTTGTATGTTGTCTATGTGAGTAGTGGATTAGGTTATGGTGAACTCTATAGTTCACTACGGTTTTTCTCGAGGAGGGTTTTCCACGTCAAAAAATCACTTTGTGTTCTTTATTGTTTATGCATATACACTTGTGATTGTTAGCACACACATGCACAATGTGTTTGTTAGAATGCTTGACTAACTATCTATTCAACCATAGTTTTGCATTGGGTTTGGGTTTTGAGATCACCGTGAGATTGATTGATTGAGTGAATTAATTGAATATTAATTAACAATCAATCATCATGGTTAAATTGGGCTTGTTTGATTAAAGGGGTTCTCACTATTCATTGTTAAATTTGTGTAAGAAGAGATAATTGTGGTGGATTAGGTTTTTATTGGTAATCATTTGAGGTAAAATTGAAAAATCTATTCACCCCCTCTAGGTAAGTGTCTAGCGCTGCACATTGGACTCCCCCTCCTAGAACAACAACTAGAATCAGAATAGGATTGCCCTTAGCACATAGACACTTATAGGCGGTTTATGTTTTTGCTTACACACCTAGTTTTCCTTCTTGATCTCTATCATTACTACTAGTTAGTCTTGAATGGAGTCTCCTCCCAAGTGGTTTCCATATATCCCCTCATGTATCTCTTCCAGCATATTTGCAACTTCTCTAGGAGTTAGGCATCTTAAATAAGGGACCAGATGCCCTCTTTTGTAAAGTACTCTATTCAATACAACATGTTTGGTTGCCTTCTGGTGAAGCTTCCTTTCTTGTTGGGTGGTCTGGGGAAGAACACTGTGCTAGAGATAGGTAAATATCTCATCCATCCAACTTGTCTCATTGTTATTGTTTGAGCATCCATGGTATGGGTGCTAGGTTTGTGTAAGAACTCAATGCAGATGGACCTTACTAAGCCATCTGATGGGAATGATGCCAGCCTTGCTAAAGAGTCAGCATGCAATTTTTGAGACTAGGGGATCTGCTCAATCTTAAATGCTCGAACTTCTATATAAGTTCTCTAGGCAAGGCTAGGTAGAAATTCATCTGGGGTTCCCTAGCCTCGTATTCTCCTTCAATCTATTGATGATTGAGTTTTGTTCTGTGGGATTTGCTTAGTTAGAAAATGGATGGTAATTGATTTTGATTTAAAAATTAGGGTATTTTGTTATTTTTTCATGGTTTGATGGATTATAGGTAGTTCATGTCTATTTTTGAAAGTTAGGGAGTGACAAAGTTGGTATTAGAGCTTAAAAATTAGTCTGTGAATGGGAACTGTATGTTGTGGGTTCGCTTCTGGGAGTAGGAAGTATATGATGGAAGGAACCTTAGACTTCAATCTTCTTGAACCTATTTTCTTATAAGACAAGTGTGAGTTGATGCTTAGTTAGGTTATATATTGTTTATTTGAATTTATGAATTTTAGCTAGCTTAGAAGAATTGATGTACATTTTGGGATGGATAAACTAGCTATCTACCATACCGTTATGGACTATTTTAGAAAATGAATGGTATTTTGTTTTCGGTTAGTAAAGTATGCTAGACATAAATCTTTAGGAAAATGGTCTTGCCAATATTGGAGAAGGTTATGAGATATGTATTGAGTGCTCATTCTTGCATTATTTCATAGCTAATATATTCACTTTAGGCTTGTTAGTAAACTAACTTGCTTTGATTAGCTTGTTTTACGATTTATGCATTGATTTCATGATTGTGGGTAGTCTAATTGTAAAGGTAGATGACAAACATCACAATAATGGCTTTGGAAAAACCTACTGGTAAACCTAAGTGTATAGGTTCTATCTGTAGTAAATCTACCAATAGGAGTGTGCTAAAATGAAGAATCTGCGGGTAGAAGTTGGATTCTACTTGTAGGACAAGATATGCACGAAGATACTAAAAATATTCCTTCAATTTAAGCTTAATGAAATCCTGTTTCTTAATGAATAAACCCTTAATTGAATGTTGGATGCAAGACAATAAATTCAATAATCAACAACTCAACATTGCAAATCCACCATCCTTATCCCTCCAAAATCCCTTTTACTGATTCACACCAAATGGATGATGATATAAGATACGATAATCAATTCATCAAACACATGGTGTATGCGTGGAATTACAAGTGTGTCTATGTGCATGAAAAATTAAAGCAATAACAAAAAACCACGACATGAAGCTATTTTAATGTGGAAACCCTCTCGAAAAAACCATTGGACTGATCCCGGTCCATCTAAACCTAATACATTATACTCAAAGTTGATTACAAAGCTAAAAACTTATATCTCGACCAATGCACCCATGGCTAGATGTTTTTTTTCCCTTAAACCTAACACTTTGGATTACCCAAAATGAGGACTTAAGATACAATTTTAGGGCGAATCTTCCTCCACGATCCGACTTGGTCTTGAGCAATCTTCAAGAACTCATTTCCAAGATTAGCGATGTGGGCTTTGGTGGTTCCCTACAATATATCTCTTCCTTCTTGATTTGGACTTGAAGTATAAGATCAATCATAGTAGAATGGTCATTTGGGTACCTAGGGATTAGGGTTTGTTCTTAGAATTCTATATGATGTAAGAGGGCTTTAGAATTTTAGAGGCTTACCCTAGGCTGTAAAGGCTTATCCATATAAATAGCCCCCCAAAAAGAGTATTCTTGGTGCCCAAAAAAATTGAAGTTTGCAAGAAATTGCTCAAGCCATTAAAGGGCAGTCAACACTAGAATGAAAAAGAAAATCAAACCAGGTCAGTTGAGCAAGGACTGATCAAGCGGTGGTCAAACTGCTCAAGCCATCTGTAGGCTATTCAAGCGGCTAGCGAGTGGTCAATCAAGTTGTCTCCACTACCAATTTTTCAGTCTCTTCCAATTTCCCTAATGTTCAAATACCGCTCTAGACGATGACCAATGAGTAGAGGGCTGTCCCTATTGGTTTTTAAGCTAAAAACCGAGTAACAACTTGCCCCATTAAGCTATAAAAGTTGTTTCTTAACAAGGATCCGATGACTCGATCTATGTTTTCAAACAAAAGATTTAATGTTTCATAAATGTTTTCTATCAAAAATCCTATGAGTCATTTCTGGATTTATCCTAAATCCATTTTATTTATAATACCAAAGGTTTTAAGGTCTCTAAGGATCTTGGCAGTTCTTCATGAGGTTACCAGTAACCTAAACTCATTCCTTTTTTCTGCTTTTGGATCTTGAATTTTGAAGCACCATGACCATGAATTTAGTTTATAAGTACATTGTGACTTCATAGAATTAGCCAATTGCAATAAGCAACGTTCTAACAATGTCCCCCTTTTGCAATTGTTTATCAAAACAAATTAGTAAGAAATTCAAAGATTAAATCATGAAAATATCAACAAAACAAACCGAATTGTAAACTAATCTCAACACTAAAGTATATTTCACTCAATATCACATCTAAGTACAAATCTATCTTCTTGATTTAGTTTTAAAGAATGATCGTATAGCACTCAAATAGCTCAACCAATATTATGTGAAAAGCATCATATGTAACGATGACATGACTTAATCAAATGTATTTAATCAAAAAAGAGAAACAATATGATATTTGTATGTAAGCAACATGCAAGTGCAATCTGCGTAAACATATATAAGCAATCCTTACCCACTCATAATGAGAACTTTAAATTCAAGAAGAATAGTTGGGGTTCACAAACACAAATAATAAGTGAAAAGTAACAACTGACAATTGTAAAACAAGTGACTTCATGCCAAGTTTTTAAATGTACTCCCCCTGAGTAATTTAAACACACTCCCCTTTCTATATTCCCCTTTCAAATAATCCCAAGCTAGTCATCGAATTTCTCCCAAGATTTATCCAAAATTGTCCCCCTTTTGTCACGAAGTGCCAAACACAACCCCATAACAAGCATGGCATAAAATATGAATAAAGGAGATATACATAATGAAGCATCTAGCAAAACAAGGAAAAGAATAAGAGAATAAACAAAAGGGACAAACATGGCATATAACACTATAGCCAAACACCAATATCCAACAATAAAAGCATAAAGACTAGATATGTGTCACAAAACAAAACAAAAATAGAGTACATAAACAAAGGATAATGAAAAAATAGAAACTCTCATGCTCCCATAATATCCTAAGTTTAAGTCTCTAGAGATCAAGTAGCACCAGTGGCTGCATCATCTCCACCATCACCATCATCAACATAATCCCTAGATTGTCCCTCATGCTCATCACTATCATTTGAATTTGAGCCAGTGTCCTTCCCTTTTGACATGTGCCTAATTCGACCCAACCAACTACCAATAGTAGCAAGTGCTCTCTCTAGACACAAGACTCTCCCCTCGATAGAGTCTAGCTATGAGAGATGAGAATGTGCTACTTATTCATGCAACTCTGCATCTAAATAACTGTATCCATGGCAGCAGTCCACTAGGAAAATGAAGAATCGAGAGTAACACTTGGTGATGGTGTAGTAGAAGTACTCGCACATGGTGTCCTAGTGGTGGTACTCTAGAATTGGATGGTCCTATCGTGAGAGGAGGAATAGATATCTCAATCTCCATCTCATTTCCCTCATCCTCAACATCCACTAGATCAAACATGTACCCTATATATGTCTCACTCTATCTAATGTGTCCTCATTGGGTTCTTCTTCTGATCAATTCTTAACTTAGTAACCCCCCTTTTTCATATATAAATGTGTGATCAGAAACCCAAAAGACAGACCAACCATCAGCCTACCCTCATAAAATGCTCTACAAATTACCCCAAATATCAAGGATGAAAAATCTAGATCAACACCAGTCACTATAGCATGACCAGGAAAGTAGAGACATAGGTCTTAGGGTTAATATGATAATTGGCAATCAAATTAAGCATCCTATAATCACTAGTAAAATCCTTTTGGTAGAAATTTTGACAGTTCCATCTATCAGGATAAGGAGAGCCATATAGCTTCAATGTAATATTAGAAAGTCTAGGTAACTCATCCACATGCCTATTCCTAAAGGCATCATCAGCTACCTAGGGTAGGATTAGAGTGGTTGCTATCAAATCAACAGAAAACTCAAACAATATCTTATGAATACAAGTAGTGAAATGCTAAAACTTGAGATTTGTGTCACTTATATGTGCATAGAATTCTCTAACTATATTCTCATTTACCGGCTCTAGGGATATGGAGAGATGAGTCTAACCTCTTGACTGAAAATTAATCGAAATAGTAGAATTCCTTACCCAGTGAATTTCACTCCTCTCTTAATAATCATATGACGTGTAACACACTTATGCCTATACTTGTCACGATAGTGTGTTTGCTGGAAGTGTCTTCTCTCATAAAAAAAACAAGAACCTGAGCTCTCTTCTCAACTCTTGGATCCATTTCCCAAAAACAATATATGACAAAAGGTGTCAAACTTAGTGACTATTATAGATTCTAGGTCCAATCACACCAAAAATCACGCCACACATAGATTGGGGTTATGGGTAGGCAACGAGTAGTTGTATAGTAGGGTTTGGATCGAGTTTATAGTGAAGTGAAATGAAATAGTGCGATGAAAATCTATTTTATTTTTATAGCCTAGGGCCCCACAAATAATGGACGCCACTCGAGCGGTCACTAAATGTATTTTGTCTAGCTAACAGTTCAACCTTCAACTCTCCTCTGCACCACTACAACTCCTCTTCTACTCCTCCATTCAACCCCAATACGCTTTCAAAAACATGCATGATTTATGTACATGATTAAAAAACAATTAAATATACATGCATGGATGAAATATGTATCCAAATGTTATGCAATTTCCAAATTTGAAAGGTAAAATGCACAAAGTCATTAATGATGAAAATTACACTAATTCATCACTTAATTGATTCATATGTATTTTATCATCTCCACACATTACTCTAAGACATAACAAAGAATATAGAACTTTGCATTCATGCATCTTTAGAAAAATTTGCTAAACGTACTCCAGTTTCTATGATCACTCACACATAATTAATAATCCATCTAGATTAAGGCATTAATGTAGCTCTAAATGAAAACTACTTGAATTCTTACTCTGAATTTTTCTTTTTATCCTCTTTTTCAACACTCAGCCTAATTGTTTTATCGTTTCTACTCATTATGGTCTTAATAAGTTCGATTTTGAATTTCGTACCTTACACATTTAACTTCTATGGCATTTGTAGTTGTGGCACCCTAAAATCTAGGGGTCTTTTCTGAACCCGTTGATCATTCATCAACTCGCAAAATAACCCATGAGTACTGTATAACCTGATACCATGTCGTTACACCCATTCACCAAGATCATAATCAAAACAGAGTTTGGGCAGAGTCTCCTTTGTACTGGAGCACTACCCAACACATAACCTGTACATGTATTAACCACAAGATCATTCAAAGGTCCAAAACCCAACAATTAGGTCTTATTATTCTCCATTTACATCATCCAAAGAGGAAAGCTCAAGACGTGAAGGCCCCTTAGTGTTTTATTTTAAAATTTCAAATTCAAGAATGAGGTATTGGTACCTCTGCTATGTGGTATCGGTACCTCTGGTACCTGAGTCCTCTATTTACTAAGTACTGGTACCTATGTCTTAGTACCGGTACCTGAGCCCCTTGAAATTCAGGTACTGGTACCTGTGAGTCTAGGTACCAGTACCTAGGTCATCTGGTAATGTAGTACCAGTACGTAATCTCTTAGGTATTGATACCTGAGCCTAGATTTTTTTCCAAAATTTTCCAATCTTCAACTCTTAGCCATCCAAACCCATTCCATGTTCATCCAAACTCATAAAACATTCATTTATATCAAAATATTGTCCAAAAGAGTTCATCACATGTCCCCTTTTATTAAAATTACAAGTTCGTAATAAAAATTGCATAATCTATTACAAAATTGTAATTTAAAAGCCATATTCTAGCTTCCTCATCAACTAGGGCCCCAGTAAGGACCGTCCACCGGTGTTTATCCAACACCTAAAATATGTCCCTATAAAGGGTGAGTTATGCTCAATAAGGTATCTTCTAAGGAAAGCTACTCCCCAACCTAGATGAAATTAAATGTTCACACGTAATTCATCAATCAATTATCCATTCAACAATATACAATTTATAAATGAATACCACAATGTCATGCCATGTCATGAGATGACTGGTGTGCTATCGCAGGCAACCAAAAATAAAATCTATACTCCTAAAAATAAATGTAGTAGTGCGAGTAAGGATCGTTCCCACAGAGAGTATCTAGCCTAGTTTTATGCCTGGTGAACAAGGATGGAAGGGGGTTTGAGTTTAACAAAAACAATTTTAAGAAAAACAACTAAAGAACAATTCAAATTAAAGTATTGAAATCTATCAAGAGAACAAATCTTGATCTAAGTCAACATTCACCATCGAAATTTAATTTACAACTGATCATCGATGCAAGTATATATCAATTCACTATCTGAATATTTACCGTTAGAACTATCTTCCTATCTTTCCTTAGTCGGAATTAATTAGAAAACTAGCGATCTAATTAACCTTAACTACTAAACAACCCAAGACAAGTACTAAAAGTTTAATCTAGTAGCATCATTAAGAATTAGAAAGATCGATGAAACTAAACAACACAAGCACAAGCGGATGCATTTAATTTAGTCGAATGTTCTTTCTAAGATCTAATAATCTCTGATGGAGCAAATCATTAAATCTTCATTGCTTCACAAATTAGAGGGATCAAACAATTACGGATTTGATATCTAACCCAACAGTAGATTACACCGAATAATAAACTAGTAGGCCTCCTAGTAATTAAACGATGCAATCATAAAAATAGGTACAACAGAACATCCAATACGCAAAACATAAATTGAACTATAAAAAACAAATTAGATCTCATAGTTTTATTGATTTCAAGGCTTCCGTTTCCTTAGATCAAGTATTATAGTTTAGCCACACATGGCCTTCATGAAAACTAGAAGAAAGAGTTAGAGAAGAAGGGGTATAGCAGCCTCTATATTATGCTCATCTTTCTTTCTTTCTCTCTCCTCAAATAAATGTAGAAAACATATCACACTCCCAAAATGTGTACAACTTAAATCCCTACATTATAAGTAGTCCTTATCAAAACAGATTGACAAAAATCGTGCTGAAACTTGTGATCTGTTTTTCTATCAGATAACGACTGAATCTTGATTTGGGTTTTTCATGAAAGTTGTAGCCCTGAATGAGTAGATAAATTTAGGCTTTTGAATCATTTGATTTGGATTTGTAAACTCAAGTTATGACCCACCGAAGTTTACTGGTTCGGAAAGGAATCCAACTCCAATCAGGATCAGCTTTCCACGCCTGACTTTGAAACAATGTTTGGAGGCCCAAACGAACTCGGATCTTTGAAAACCATACCTTTCTGAAAAGATTAAGACGTCCTCTAAAAACTTCATGAAGAATACTTTCTCAGTCTGAAACTCTAACGTCATCCAAACCTCAATTGAAGCTCCATAAATCAAACTGCCTAAAAGCTGGAAATTGCATAATAATACTCCATATCTATTCTTTTGCCTTCAATACTTCCCTTGATGCAGTCAATATCTCTCAAAACTCAAAACATGAAAAATTTTAGAGATTTTATTTGGCATTCCATAGCATCTTGAATCATCTCAATCGGAGCTCGGATGAGAGAGTTATGCCCAGATTATGAAGCAATATCGAAACTGTCCACAATCGTCCAATTAGCTTCGTTTTGCATTTAACATCTCCATTTGCGTCCTAAATCAAAATATAAGAATATTGAGTATATTTAGGCTCCAAATAAGTATAAAAGGCTAAATATTAAAAGAGAAAAAGATGACATTTTGCATTCTCCTCAATGACACTCATAAATACAATGCAACTTAAGCCTTCCACCTGCTCCCATAACACATGTCATGTCATGCATATGTTACACATTCCAGACCCTCACCATTGATGTTACACATCCAATGAAAATTTTATAAAATCTTGTGGCTTTTGGGTAGTTACTTTATGAACATCACAACAAGGGTCTACCAGCCTACACGGCATTCGAGGACATTGCACCCTAGGCTCCGAGTAAACCTACACACTTTTCTAGAATTTCACCACAGGGAAAGTGAGTGAACCAAGTAACCGAGTCTTGCACCAAAGGAGAATCTATCCCTTCTTACTACACCTGACACACACATTTTTAATGCAACCCGAGTGACTCGGGTTAACCTAGATCCAACCTTTCTAAGCACACATATCAACCCACAAAGGATAGTGTTTGATAAAAATCATGAACACATACCCACAACCATGTCAAATGCCTATAAATGCGATATTACTCGTGTATATGCAAATGTAATGTACAATTGTAATTTATAATATCATGTTCATCATATCATGAGCATATTATGAACATATTCCTTTTTCACAAACATTCTAAATTTCTCAATTGTCAATTATATCGTAAAGCATATAATCACAATCCATAACACCACCAAGCATGCTATGTCATATTGTACACACATAACACACTTAATCAAACATAGAAATTTTATCAAACATCTACAAGGC